ATTTTTATAAAATCATTAATAATTAATGAACAATTCTAATTTTTTGAAGAAATGAAGGGAGAATACGGTAGTTTAAAAAAAAAGAATTCATCTATGTCCATAGTAAGGTCTTTTTTACTTCATTCAATTATTACTATTATTGTTATTTTATTGAAAATGGCATAAAAAACAAAATATTAGTGATAATTTGCATTTAATGCATAATTAGTGTGTTTTGAAACGTAATTTTGTACTTTTCTAATGTTGGTGCTACCTAAATATCTTTTACGCAATCTTAAATTATTTGTTTTATAAAACAAATAATTTAAGAGATATTTAGGAAGCACTAACATTAGAAAAGTACAAAATTACAATTATGTAAATAATGAAATTGATTTTTAGATTGTTTTCGAACAATTTATTTTTAAAGAAAGTAACATAGTTAAAATGGCAAAAAAATAAACAAAATAAAACCCAGATAATTAGGTTTTTGGTATTTTAAAAATTGTTCACAACAGTCTTTTTTTGCTTTTCGAAACTCTGACACAAGCTGTACAAAAATATATTATAACACCCGCAAGAATATTCTTTTAGCGATGGGATATCGATGACACTTTTTTGAAAATCGATCCGACTATGTGTAACTCAGCTGAGAATCGTTAACGATGCTGCCGAAAGAGCTGTGCATTTATTTGACGAGTATAACTCCATCATAACACACAATGAAGACCAGAAACAGTATTTCCCGACCCAAAAAAAGACTTTTGTAAACAATTTTTAAAATACCAAAAATCAAATTATCTGGGTTTTATTTTGTTTATTTTTTTGCCATTTTAACTATGTTACTAACTTTAAAAATAAATTGTTCGAAAACAATCTAAAAATCAATTTCATTATTTACATAATTGTAATTTTGTACTTTTCTAATGTTGGTGCTTCCTAAATATCTTTTAGGTAATTTTAAATTATTTGTTTTATAAAACAAATAATTTAAGATTGCCTACCATATTTTCCCTTCATTTCCTCAAAAAATTAGAATTGATCATTAATTACACTAGTTTACAAAATTTGATAAAGTTGTTCCTCATTTAACCAAAACCACTTTTTTTAAGGTAAAATTTTGTACTGATTTTAAAAATAATAGTAGTTTTTCTGGTTTAGCTCTAGATTTTGGGTTATGCATGAAATCTCGCAAGAATGAACTGTTACAGAATATTCAATCAAAAATATGCAGCTAAAATTTTATTTGATATCAAATCAATCCCAAATCTTTATAGCTGTAAGGACTGAAGTTTAATACAAATTTTAAGATGTAATGCTCCTAAATCGCATTAGTGGTTGTTTCACTATGACCAAAAATGGGTTAGAAAAAATCATTATTTCCCGATATTTTTTTAATTTTTTCAACTTTGGTCCACTGTATAACAAAAAATATTTTGGAATAAAAAAAGTTAGTCCCCCTATATTCTAGAGAATTTAATTATGAAAATTTTAAGCATACGTACGTCAATATATGATGAGATTTAGATTATATACGGTAAATTGTTTGAAGCAATGAAAAATTTAATCATTAATAATATTACACTTTTTTAGATTAAATAAGGGAAAAAAATTATCAAACCCGTTTTTTTTTTTAATTTTTTGTTTATTTTATTTTTTTATTTAATTTACTTCCATAAACATTTATTTTTAATTTTAGATTTTGTTTATTTTAGTGATTTATAATGAGGAATATGTGAACAATTACATCCAATGGATATCCAATGGATTTCTTTTATGGATATCCAGGATATACATAGGATATCCGGGATATCCAATGGATAACCATTGGATATATAAATGTCCGACCCTCTTGGACATAGTGTGGATATCCAGTGGATATAGTATTGTATGCAATAAGGTTGTAATCTGTATTCAATATGGAGATTGTATGGATATCCAATGGATAGGGTATTTAATGCAATATGGTTGTCATCTGTATTGGATATGGTGAATCAATGGATATTAACTTTTCAATAAATAACATTGGGTTTTAAAATAAAAGTCTTATTCTTTAATTTAAATATTTATTTTTATGAAAACATAAAAAAGAACAGAAAACTACATATAACTAAAGAAGTGAAGTCTCTGGCTTGCCATCACTCCTCCAGCTGTCATTTGCCTTTTTATCAGCCTAATCATTTAGGGCCTATTTCACCTGTCTCCTTATGATCCCCAAAATTTGGCCAATCCATCAGCCCATTTGTTACCCTTGTGATGGTCATTTTGTATAAACAGTCGAAACAGAGATATAATTCAATTTTATACAGCAAAACCTTCATTCTTATTAATCCTATTACATGGCACAATAAATAGAGAAACAGTAATAATATACAATATAGTTATCATAGAAAATATAGTAAGAATAATAATAATAATAATAGAGCAGATAATAATATCAACGTAATAATCAAAATAATGTATGTAATATTAAAAATAAGGAATATTAAGGTTAAATTTATTTAATATAATGATATCGACTTATGATATAAAATATATGAATTATAACGTCTCCTGAACTAGATAAATAAACCTTAGGAATCCACATTAAAATAATAAACTTGGTTAAAGCTTTACAACCATTTTAAATAATTAATTAAATTGATTAATATAATATTTATATCATACCTTGTATGTTTATATTCACAAATACCTACAATTTTATTGATGGAAAAAATCATCAATATCTCTATTTTTCAAAATCATTCGCCTACTACCATCAACAACCTTGTTACTCTAGGAGACCATTTTTTATCAACAACTTTACTTTTAATACTGGTTTGGTAATATCCCAAACTTGCTGTACTCAAACTAACAATCTTTCACGCTAAGACTCGATATAATTTAAATAAACTTTTAAACGTTTTTAACACAGCTGACTGATTGAAATTAATTTGTCAATGTCATCTCATTCTGTCAATATGACTTTAACTAAGTGCGTATAGTTGGTTGTCACCTTCTTCCTTACGAGTATCAAAAGTCGGGCCAACACAGACGCCCCTTTGAAATATGGCGAAGATACAGCAGGGATCTTGGTCATTTTTCAACATCCCTAGTTGGTCCGAGTTCCGGGAACTACATTCTTCTCCTTCTTCTCTAAACCTCTACTCAGCTCAATGCCTATTCATGTGCTTCTCAGATTCTTGTACTGATCGGATGACTTCTTAGGTAACTAATAAGTTGTGTTTCTCAATAACAACTCAATGATACATGAAAAGAGGAACAGAAAGTGATGAGTATATTACATAAAAAATTGAATACAAGTATTAAAAAAAAACCTTCGCCCCTATTATCTTATCCACATCCCAAACAACCCAAATACTCAACATCCCAGACATCCCAGACAACCCAAACAACCCAAATAACCCAAACATCCCAAATACTCAACATCCCAAATACTCAACATCCCAGACATCCCAGACAACCCAAACAACCTAAATAACCCAAACATCCCCAAAACTGTACGCTTTAAGGTACACATTCAAAAATAGTCAAATCCTAAACCTGTAAGTTCTAAAATAATATTTACAAGTGAATATAAGTTACATCTTATAATTAACAAACCGTCCATCTAATAAATCGAACCCCACTTTCAATTCACTTCCATAACGCAAAGCACCTTTCGTATCATTCATACTTCATAGCTAAAAAATACAATCACTAAAACTATACCCATTCTTAAGCTGACCTTAGTCACCCTTAGGTTTTTGACTTAAGGGTTTTTTTTTTATATATATATATTTTTTTATTTATTTATTTTTTTTTATATGGTTTTTTATATTTTTCTACGTAAGGAATTAAAGAAAAAAAATAAGGATATTTGCTAATTTATAGGCGATTTTAATTGTAACAGCATGAAGGTTGAACGAGAAATATACAGTCCCTGCTCCTCTTAACCCTTATTTATGAAGGTAGCGGCTGTCCCTTCGCTGTGCTTTTACTTCACCCGCGGCCACTTTTCTATCTAACTAATATTTTCCGCTATATACTAGCTCGTGGTGTCTCGGCAATAGCCGCAGTTTAGTATGGTTGAATCCAATTATACAAGTAATATAACATAAGCAATACAATAAATACACATTCCGAAAACCCTTTTACAACATCAGCGGTTACGAAGAACTCCACCGCCTATAGGCGCTATGGGCTCTTTAAGGTTCTAGGAATCTTACACCACTTAGCAAGCACATTTCAGTTTATTCCGCCTATAACCCTACATATTTCCTAACGCACGCAAAAAAAACAACAGGTGAAACAATAGCCAGCCGAGGTTATTATTTTATTTAACTCGGAGCAAGCAAAAACCAGGGCCAAGAGGAGATGAACTTACACCGAAATTACGAGGTATACCGAACGAGAAAAATACAAATAATCACAACCGCGTACTGTACATAAGTGGTAGCGAGAGGTGGGTTTTGAGAGAAGTTTAATTATTTCTTACCTACAAATTTTAAACCACAAACGAATAAACACCGACTCACTCCCGGGCGCAACTTTCCCATCCGCAATCTCTCCACCGACTGCCGCCGCTTTTTCGTCCTCAGCAACAAACCCACGCGCGAGCGAAGACGTGGATTGGTCCAGGTTCCTGTCCTAAATTCCTACGCCGTACTGGTTGTGCATTCCAGCGGTTTTTTATTTACTATTTGCCCTGCTTGATAATTTGTCGTTTTGTTTTTTTTTTTCATTGAATTCCTATTTGACGGCAGCCGGGTCAACACAGACGCCCCTTTGGAAGATGGCGAAGAGGCTGTAAGTGGCTTGGGCATCCTTCCAACAACCGGAGTTGAGTCGGCGGTAGGCAGGTGCTTCCGATCCTCGTGATACATGAAAATAGAGAACAGAGAGTGATTAGTAACATGCATAAACCAAAAAATCTCCCCTACCTTCCATCCCTTTTGACCCTTACTCAACATGGGTTAGTACGTGTCTGAATTTCGGCGTTAGTGACATGCAATTCCAAGCAATCTAAGCGTATTAGTTAGTAACGTCACGCTGGTGGTTAATAAGAAATACATATGCGGTTACACCATTACCTGTGCGGGTCTTCTCCGCCCCTATCCCACCGTTCCCTTTTGGCTACTCTTACCGACACCACGTCCCAACGCTCAAAATTTCCAGTATGGGTTAGGTTAGTAACCTCCTCACGGGTTGGACTCAGATAGGGTAAAGAAAACGCAACTCCAATTCACTTCAGCTCCTTTAGTGAGGTACAAATGAAAAACAACCAACATTTTACAAAACCGGACAGAGAGAGGAACATTCCTCCTGCTCCCAATCAACATAACGCAAATTCACAAAATAAAATATAAGTTTGTTTCCGCCTTTTTCTTTGGTTAACCCCCAACACAGTCCGGCTCCGGCCGAGGAGTACGGCGATGATAAAATTTCAAGTTGGTGATGTTGTACCTTCCCTTTTGTACCTGGGTGTCGGGGTCGACGATAGTGTATACATTTTGGTGAGGGATGGTTTTTACCTCGTAAGGTCCGGAATACAGAGGGCACAGTTTGGCGGTTCGTTTTAAACCAGCATCGGAGACGGGACACTCGCGCAGCAACACCAGGTCACCCACAACCAAACGATCCGTGTCGTGACATTTTTTTCGTTGACGAGTCGCACGCCGTAACAGGTTTTGTTTTGCGATCTCGCGGATCTCCGTGACCGTTAAACCTTTTGAAGGGGGCAACCGCTGCCGAATTGCCTCCTGCAAAACATTCACCGGGGTTTCCCCATAAAGAATTTCGTAAGGCGAGAAATCCGTAGACAGGTGCGGAACCGAATTAAACAAATCCTGACAGGAGCCCACCAACTCGGCCCATCCGGTATGTTTCCGAACGCAGTAGGTCCGAAAAATGCGACCCAATTCTTTCATTACCCTTTCGCTGGGATTCGACGCCGGGTGACGAATAGAGGATAATCTGACCTGTATGCCGGCGAGTTTTAACTGTGACTGCCAGAGTCGGGAGGTGAACTGGGTACCATGGTCCGAAACAATCGTCTGAATCTTTATAAAGCTTACAAAGTCCTCGAGGATCTTTCTTACCGCCAACTTGGCCACCGGTCGGCGCATGGGATACAGGCGCACGAATTTTGAGAACGTATCGATTACAACAAAAATGTAGGCCACTCGGCCACGTCCTTCAGGGAGCGGTCCGAAAAAATCACACGTCACCAGTTCGCCGATTTGGGTGGCGACAACGGGTTGCGTCGGACCGGTGAGATACCGGTTGGGATATTTGTTTATTTGACACAGATGACATGAACGTATAAACCTGCGCAGACTGGAACGTAGCTGGTCGGTATAGATAAGTGGTTTTAAAAGCCGATAAAGTTTAGCGACGCCAAAATGCCCATAAAGCTCGTGATACGCCTGGAACAAAGAGGAACGAAGGGTCTGGGGAACCACCAAGCGAACAGGTTCCGACGCGTTACCGCGAAAACATAGAAGGTCGCGGTGGAGGAAACAACATGCTAAAAGCTGATCTTGGCGATGATTCAAGGTAACAGACCGTCCTGACAGGGTGGTATATATGGGTCCAAACAACGGGTCGGCACTTTGGAGCTGACTAAGGTTGGCAAACTCGGTGTTCAATTCAGGAAGCTGGGCAATGTCGAACAAATTACATAATTGGGTCTGGAGAAGGCCACTTGCGGCGATGGGTTCCCTATCCTTGGAGGGCAACCCTTCAGAATTTATGGAGTATCGAGACAGGACATCCGCTACAACATTGTCCTTTCCCCGCACGTGTTCCACAACATAGTCAAACTCGGTCAAGTACATGACCCACCTTGTCAAGCGATCATTCAAAAGCCGACTCTGTTTGAGGAACTTTAAAGCATGGTGATCCGTGCGTATAATAATGTGATGGCCCAACAGTAACGTGCGGTATTTCTTTAGGCCAATAGCCAACAACTCCTTTTCCGTGACAGTATATAGCAACTCTGCACCGCTTAACACTCGACTCGCGTATCCCAGGACCAAATGTTCCCCATCATCATTTTCTTGGTAGACTTCCACTCCTAAAGCGTATCCCGAACTATCGGCCTGAAGGAAGAACGTCTTACCGTAATCGGGAAACTTCAGCATAACAGTTTTAAGAAACAATTCCTTGACTCGTTGAAAAGCTTCGTTCTCGGTCGGACCCCATTCCCATTTAACCGACTTACGCAGCAAACGCGTTAGGGGCAGTAAGTTATCACTATAATTCTGCACGAACCGCCGGTAGAACCCACACAACCCCATGAAACCCCTCAGTTGTTTTATATTTTTGGGTTCTGGAAATCGGGAAATGCATTCGACCTTATCAGGGTCCGTGCGTATGCCCTGCGACGTAAGGAAATGTCCCAAGAACTTAACCTCTGACTGGACGAAGTGGGTCTTGTTAAAGTTTATGGTGAGCTTGGCAGCGCGTAATTTCCCAAATACGGCGGTGAGATGAAGGAGATGATCCTCGAAACTATTCGATACCACCAAAATGTCGTCTATATAATTGAACACATTCTCCCTGAGTTCCGTTCCTAAAATTACATCCATAGCACGCGAGAAACTACCTACGGATACCTTGAGCCCGAAAGGCAAAACCTGATAGGTATAGCTACGGTGATTGTACATGAAACCGGTGTATTTGGTAGATTCAGGGTTCAAGGGGATTTGCCAGTACGACGCCACCAAGTCGATAGTACTTATGTACCGGATATTTGAGACTGAAGCGAAAAGGTCCTCTGGAGGTTGTGGGGCGTCGTAATCAGATATCATACGCTCGTTTAACCACCTCGCGTCCAAACAAATCCTAACAGTCCCGTCCTTCTTCTTGACCACCGTCATGGGGCTGCAATACGGGGTGGCCTCTTGCTTAATAATCCCTAGTGACAACATTCGTTGAATTTCTTTATCGACCGACTCGCGTAGACCTTTGCATGTACCTAACAATCATGGCATCATATTTAACGGACGCTACCATAGAAAAAGGACGCTTCTTTATCTTTTGTGTTCGGCGGCAGTGTTGTCAGACGTTTAAATAATTTCAGAAAGCTCATCAAAATGGCGGTTATATATTATTAAATCTTTAATATTTAATTAATTAGTATACCTAGTATACCTATTTAACATAAATGTGGTGAGTAATTATTTTAAATTTATTTAATTTATTTATTAAAACTTAATAAAGTACGGAAATATATTTCGTTTAGTTATTTTGCTTCTAACCGGCAACACTGAAGATTCTCAAATTCAGCGCGTGCGTACTACTATGAAATACAATAATAAACAAAAGGGACTTAAGTAATTTTTTATTGTATTGCAGACTGTCATAGTCATATTATTAACAGAAATAATATCTAGGTAAAGTGAACATTTCAAAATTAAAAATTTCGTAGCTCTTGGCAAAAAATCAATTTACCGTAAAGTTGTTTTTTTGACATATGCCAGTTCTCAATTAAACCATCACAAAATCCCACATGTATACATACAAGTATATATACAAGATATCCATATCAGTTATCCACTGGATATCCAGTGGATATACATTAGATGTACAGTGGATATAATTTAGACATACATTAGTTATCCATTGGATATATATTAGAGATACTTTGTTGAAATTGGTTTAATAACGATTTAAATCATATTTATTAATCATTATATAAATTTGTCCTATAAAGGCTATTTTAAAAAAGAAAAAAATATTTTTAATGTTTTTGTTTTTTTTTGAACATCCGGTATGGATATCCATTGGATATCCAATGGATATCGTAAAAGGCATGGATGTTATATGGACATTGGGATAGCCATTGGATATCCATTGGATAGCGTGTTCTGTGTGGGTGGTGTTCACTTTTTTTCTGTACTGCATCGGATCCGTTTCTCTTATTATTGTCCAACAGTAATCCCCCATCATTCCTTCATCCCAGAAACCCTGATATCTTCTTTCAAGAGCCATTAGGTCCTGATGAAATCTTTCACCCTGCTCATCACTTTGTGCACCCAAATTCTCCGGAAAAAAATCTAAATGCGAGTGTAAGAAATGCATTTTAAGAGACATTCTCGCACCAATTTTATAATAATTTTTCAGTAAATTTTCAACAATTGCAGCATAATTTTCGTATTTATTTTTCCCTAAAAATTCTTCTACAACTTGATTAAAGCTGGTCTACGCAGCTGCTTCCTCAGTCGACAATTTTTGTACAAATTGTTCATCATTCAGCAATTTTCTTATTTGTGGACCCACAAAAATACCTTCTTTTAATTTTGCGGTACTAATCTTTGGAAAAAAATTGGTGAGATATCGAAAGGCAGGTCCATCATTGTCCAATGCTTTGACAAAGTTTTTCATGAGGCCCAATTTGATATGAAGCGGCGGCAAAATCACTGAATTTGCTTCTACTAATGGTCGATTTAAGAGATTAAAAGACCCAACGGTATAATTTGTTCTGGATGGCCATTCCTTGCGAACATAATTATGTGCTTTAGCCCGACTGTCCCATAGACAAAGAAAGCAGCAATACTTAGTAAATCCACCCTGTAGGCCTGTAAGGACTGCAACCACCTGTAAAATAACAAAAAAAAACTGCTTTAATAAATCCTTATAACACAATAAAAAAAATTCTACCTTTAAGTCTGCACAAACTTTCCATTTAAATTTATCATAGTTTATCAATTGCAACACCTCTGCAATTCGTTCATAAGTATCCTTTACATTTACTGCATGTGTAATTGGAATTGTCGGTAAATTATTTCCATTGTGTAATAAAGCCGCCTTCAAACTATTTTTTGAACTGTCTATGAAAAGACTCCATTCTGTTGGTGTATGTTGTACTCGTAGTTGTTCAAACAAGCCATCAATATTATGGCAGTAACAAATATGATCTATTTTCGTAAAAAACACAGAAAACAAGTCACTTCTATTTCGGTAAATAGTCACTTTTGTCGATTTATCAAGACATTTCCATTGGTTAAGGCGCGATGCTAGCACTTCACTATCCCTTTTCGACAACTTAAGGTCCCTAAATAAATCATTTAATTCGGCTTGTGTTACATCATGTTTTTTTTCTGCATCGAATTCATTTTCAGAAGAAGACGTACCAAAACTAGGTTCGTTTTTGCTTGATTTGTCATATCTTAAAGGATGTTTTGGTTTTGGTAGATTTCCATCATGTAGAACTGGTTTTTTCGCCGAAGTAACATCTGGATACTGAAGAGATCTTCTTTTTTTTGAGTTTATACCAGTAATATTTATCACACAAAAGTAACAATCTAAATGATCCACTGGTTCTGCCCATAAAACTGGACAGCCAAAACTCAAATAAACGTTTTTTCCAGACATCCAGCTTTTCAACGTTATGTTGCAATTTGGACAAATTAAACTTGGTGTCCAAGATTTCTCTTCATTTCTTATTTCAAAACCAAAATAATGTAAATATGCAATCTTTAGGTTTGGTGTTATTTTTCTACCTTTTTTCCGATAATATAGTGTCCGCATATAAAACAAAACAAATCTGGGTGATTTTTACATGCAAATTTCCTACTGGCCATTTTAAACACAATAACAACAAAACACAAAAACAATCAAACACTATAAAAAAGTAATATTTAAAATCTTTTGACAACTAAAATCAATATAAACATTTATATTCTAAATGACAACTGAAATGTCAAATAAATACATCCAAATAACCACTCATGGCATCCTACAATTTTATTTCTCTTATTAAATTTAATTGAGTATGAGTATGAGTATAAGAGACGTATAACCAGCCCCATTTCCTCTTGACTCTCGAACCCCGTACAGGCCTATGTTTACTTACGCCGATTTTTGTTCTTCCCCAGCAACTGCACGGCTTCACCCGTGTTTGCTGGGTGCGAATGTCCATTGCGTTCCGTACTGTCCCCTATTTGGGGCTCGAGAGCGAGAGGCGAATAGTTATAATAGCCATTCCCGGGTTCGCCGAGCCTATGCTATACGCTCAGTGGGGTATGGAGGAGGGACGGGAGGGTGTTGGTTTTTGGGGGACAATTACGCCGACTTAAAACTAAGTACGACGCGGAATCCCCCTAGACCAGTCGATTAGTATTACTCCAAACATTTGGGATTACTATTTGGAGTTGGGGAGTTGTTATTTCGCTGCAGGGGTGTAGTCTCCTAGTCGAGGTCTTTGACTTGTTCGTTATTGTCATTGTCCGTGTCCTGGTCAGATAGTTCCTGCCCTTGGTAAAGTGTGTCAGTTGTTTTTAATAATTTTTGTCCCAAGCACGTTTTGTGGTAGAGTTCCGTCTTTGTTTATCAAATTCCAAAGCATTGCATTTATTCACTAGTCAAACAAATCACAAGCGCGATTATTCTGTTGTCTAATGTTTACGAATCTCGAGTTTGGCTATTAGGCCCTTTTTTTTTAATGTGTTAGAATTATGTGATCAATGTTAGTTTACTCTGTCAGTCCAGTGTTTATTTTCGGTCTCGATTGGGACCGCCTTACGCATTTGCTGTTGACAGACTTATTGCCCCACACTGCGTGCCCTTCATAGGTTTTAAAGATATCCCAATAAACACTTTAACGATACCTATCACCATTAACATTGCCCGTGTAAGAATTTTTAACACTTTTTAATACAATTTTGCAATGATAGTAATTAAAAACAAAACAATTGTTTAAAGAGTAAAATATGATCTTAACATAATCATATTTTAAAGTTATTTTAACATTTCAAGTAAAATAATGTTATGTTTAATAAAATGAATACGGGCAATGTTAATGGTGACAAATACTTTTTTTTTCAAATTTAATTTAAAACTAGCTTAATACAAAATAAATAGCCGGCCCTGTGGTGCATCGTATTAAAATCTGAAACGGCCCCGGTATCGGGCGTGAACGTATGCTTCAATAGTTGGTTTATTTACGTTATGTTATTGCGTGGGCGCTTTGTTTATTTACCATCCTTCAAGCTTTGCCTTGTTGCTGAGTTGCAAGTCGCGTATATTATACAATATATATAATACAATAATATAATATTGCGACGTTCCTGCTTGATTCCTTTTCGCACACTTACGCTGTTTTCGGCAATGGTTAATTGTTGCCAGTTTTTTTTACAGATTTGCGTATTAGGTCATGCAATAATACTTATCAGAGTCGGCTGGTGATGGTGATGGTGATGATCCCTTTCGCTCTTTGTTAGACTTGTTTTTTTCTTTAAATAGGTGATTCCTTGACCTGTCCCCTGTCACTTTATTACTTCGTGTCCGCACGAACCTCACTCCTATGTTCACCGTTGAGAGATTGCCTTTTGAGGAATTATTTAATGTTTCTATTAACCCCTCGGAGAACAGGTACCCTGATTTCACCTGTACCGTTATGTATACATACTATAGTCATCCAAATAGTAGCACTGTTTCGCACCTTACTTTACTCGACTACACTGTATATAATAGTTATGTTTCTTTAAGAATTTTATTGTGGATCGGCACCGAGCGCTCGAACATCCGCTCGCTTCGCCGGTATCGACAGTACTGGTTCTCTTATTAAATTTAATTTATGTAAAAAAGTACTTACATTACATCACTTTAAAAAATTGACCGTATAAAATGTAAATCTCATATTATATTGACGTACGTATGCTTAACATTTTCGTAATTAAATTCTCTAGAATATAGGGGGCCAACTTTTTATATTTCAAAGTGTTTTTTTATTTACATAGGACCCAAGTTGATTTTTTTTTTTAATTCAGAAAAAGAATTGATTTTTTTACCTGTTTTTGGTCATGACGACCAAACCACTAAGGTAATTTATAAGTTTTACACCTTAAAATTTTTATTACACTTTCCTTCTTATAGCTATAAACATGTTAATATTAAATAACAATTTTAGCTGAAAATTTGTGATTTAATGTTCTGTCACATTGCATTTTTTCGAGATTTCATGCGAATCTCGAAATCTAGAGCTAAACCAGGAAAACCACTATGATTTTCTGAATCAGCAAAAAAGTTTACCTTAGAAAAAGTAGTTTTGGTTCAATGAGGAAATTTTTGTAAACTAGTGTTATTAATGATTTTATAAAATTATTGCGTTTTAAAGTAAAAATCCCCTATTTGAAAAACTGTAAGTAATAATCGAGCGAAGTAAAAAAAGACCTTAGGATGAAAATATATGATTTCTTTTTTTTTGTTTAAAAGTAATTTAATTTCTCTACATTTTTTCAAAAAATTATACTTTTTCATAAATTAATAGTAATTTTAAAAAATTAATACATTAAAGGCAAAAATCCTCTATCTGGAAAACTTCTAGATAGGACATTTAAATTTGTCATACATTTTTTGAATATTTTTTAAAAACAAATGAGGGGGCGGCACAATTAAAATTTCTACATCGGTCAAATAAGAACCACCCTAATACACCTATATAATAATACTTTATTCATGTTAGCATACAATTTGTATTTACCTTCGCACAGAGAGGTATTTGGACCGAAAACATGGACAAAAATATTTGAGCACTTTTTCTGCCTAAAAAGGGTAGCAAATTACTAAAAAACATATTTCTAAAGGTATACAAGTGACAATATAATTCATTAATATTAGAACCAATAAAATGCCAGTATTCCATAGTGACGTACTTTATCATAGCGGCAATATTTTTTATCATCTTGTTTACACGTTACTATGAATTTTGACGTTTTTTTGATTTGACATTTGTTGTCATTTCAATTCTGTTTTTGATATATATCAATAAAATAATAAATTATAAACTCTAAAAGATCGATGGGTTGGTGTAAACGATAATGAAATTAAGGTAAGTTTGAATAAATAAGGTTTATTAAAGTCTTTTTATATTTTAAAGCACATTTTAATTTTAAATGTCAAACCAAAAATTCGTTAAATCCTAAAATTCATTATATTTTCTCACTAAATATAACTCGTGGTATGATTAATTATAATTATCGATGATATTTACTCATTAAAACCGAAGCAGCACATTTCACTCGTCCTGCGGACTCGTGAAATCTGCAGCTCGGTTTCAATTCGAAAATATCATCGATGATAATCATACCACTTGTTATATTATGGGTGATAGTAGGTATTTTTTTATTAAAAATAAAAATATGTGTGTTCAAAAATGTATTAAAAAATTACACAATAGCTACTTTACTTATGTGCAATTAACACAATAAAAATATTCAATTAAACATATATTAACTAACTATAATTAACTATAAACTATCAATAAATGCATTTATTATTTTATTTTTCATTATTCATCATCACTATCATCGTTTTTGATTATGAAAAATTGAAGAGCTTCCTTTGAAAAATCCTTCCTATCTTTTTTATTTTTCGGCCTTAAACTGCTCAAATAAGGATCGGAAGTTAAAAGAAGTCGGTTTAGCACATCCTCATTGCATTGTGCCCTAGAGAACTTCCGAGAAAAACTCTTCCTATATTCGCGGAAGTGCTTGTTCCTAGCTTCCGCTGCTTCTTCGGACAATTGGCCGATTGGCAGTAATGCATGGGCTATGACAATGGACGAATGCATTAAAATTTTATGCACTGTAGGTGACATAGGTTGCCAGGGATACAAATTTACATAGTGATTTGCTGTATTCATCGTGAAGGTCGAGAATTTTTTGAGGTCTATATCAAATCCTGAAGATATTACTTCTAATATAACTTTAAAGTAATTAATTAATATTAAATCCACCCCTTTGAAGGTAAAAAAAATCATTATTCTTTATTTTATACCTATTTAACACTCTAGTTAAGCCCTAATTAGGTATAGTATTTTTAATTGTTTCAAATTGTACTTACCATTAACCATGATAGGTAAAAAACCTAATGACATATAATTTATTTACATTGTTAATTCATTTGAAAATCTATATAGGTACATTAATTCTTGCTTTTTAAATAAAAATCTTAATATTAAACTTGAAAAAAGTTGACGAAAACCAAGCTAAATATTCCTCTAATATATCTACCTACCTAAACATTTTATAAGACCGCACTAAAATGCCTCTTTTTAAAGGTAAATTTTTAGCGGATGTGGAAACATGTGGATGACTTTGATGGCTGCAATTATTCTAGATATCCTAAAGTTTAATAAAATGTGTTGCAGATGCCGTTGCGAGGTGTTGCCGATATTTAAAAACACCATTGTTTGTTTAAGAAAACGAGAAAAATTAAGCATTTCTAGGTAGTTAATTATAGTAC